TTTAAAAATCACAACTGTTCTTTAGAAAGTATCTCAGCAGCACCCTGATTTAACAGACTAAATCTTTATAGAGCAGAATTTGTTATAGAGCAACTTTGGAGTGGTGAGGGCTGAAATGTTTCAGTTAAAATAAGACATATCAAACAAGCGTGCAGACTCTGGGTCTGATCCCATGATCTGATGCTTTAGCATGGATCCCTGTGCTAATGCAGAGCCCCATTATTGTACCAATGAGCTTCAAAGTTCAGCTTCAGATGCAAACTGCCTCAAAGTTCCGTTGGTTCAAATAGAGTGCCCTTGATTCCGGTTCGAAAACCACTTGTTGAATACTATATTTCTTTTTAAATGACATTTTATTCAGTCACCTTTATTTCTTATTCCTCCTAGATCTATAAAGTTGCAATACTTCAGATACTACTGCATAGTAACGTGGGCACCAATTGAGCAAAGCACTGTAATGCATGCTTAAGTACAACCTTTGTTAGCAAAATACTTAAGCATGTGCTTCACATTAAGTACTTTGCTGAATTGGTATGGTTTACTGAATCAGAGACTTGGCAAATAACGTTTTTAACAGCAACCACAGCAAGCATTCAGTCTTTTATATGCTTCTCTGACCTGAATGTGAACTTGAAACCTTCTGAGGTTTTCCCATTCCTATTTCCTATGCCTTTGTGGGCTGTGCCAATGACTCCTGGGATGCAGATCTAGAATGGGCTCTGAATATTTTAATCACAGTTTTCCTGCTAAAGAAACCAGATGTATGCACATATGCACTTGAGCTCTTTCATAATTTGAAACAGTATCATTTTAAACCTATCTTATTTGATACAGATGAACAAGTTTGTTTTTATCCTGGCAAACTGCTGTTTCCATTATTCTTGTCCTTGGCTTCTAGAAATCTTTTTGAATTGCATTTGTTTTCCTGAAGAGAGTAATTACTCTTAGTCTGCCATCTTGAGATAAACCCAGAAAACAAGCCCATTGCTGCATCTAAATGAATCTTTTAAATATAATGCAGGCGCTGTAAACAATAGACTCCTGAAGGTTGGTAATAATTTACATTTTTTCTTTTAGATGTGACTACAGGTATCTAGTTCCATTATCTCCAATATTTTATGGAATTTTCTCCCTTTCTGTTTATTGCTCAAGCTGTAACAGTTTTCATGCCCCAAATGAATAAAGTCTTCACAAAATGTTGTGTAGCTTGGGGTATTCTGAACAGCTTTGCACAAAACCGGCCATTTTTAGAGTAAGTTATTTCCACAGCTGGAAGACTTTTTGGATGGGTGCACTTTCATAGCTTGATGCTTTATCTTTGCATTATCAGAATCGGAAATCAAGTAAAACATCGGACTAGAATCAGTGATCATCACCAACACACAGAGGAATGCCTGTAGCAAACAAAGCATTCAAATCACTGGCTGGCAAAACAGTTCTGTCTCATTTTCTTCAGTGCTTGTCTACAGCTAACATCTGTTTCCAGTTATGGTATTAACAAAGGCTTCTCCTCTAAATGACTGTTATTAAACACACAAGTCCATAGAGCTATTGGGGTAAGTTTCCAATGTGACACATGGGGAGTGAAGTGTAACAGCAGTGCTATAAATGTACCTTACATCACACATACCTATGTCCTAGCTAGATTGGTGATCTTCAAGCATGAGAAACAGAGGGAGGAGGGTGGGGATGGGGAATCTAGATTTGTATTTTATGAATATTACAAAACATGACCCCCACATAAGGAGGACAGAGATAACCTGGATAAAATAAACACCATGCTTTGGCTGTAGAAAATCCAGAGGTGTCTTATACTATAAAAGAGTTTGGTGTGACATATGACAATTTCCTGCAATATCCTTGGGAGATCTCACTGAATTAAGTTTAAGTATCTTTGGTGTCCATTGTATTAAGTGAATGGTTTATTTATTGTAAACTGGGATTGTGAGGGGGGAGGATGTGATAGATGCGAGATTGGGGGGTTCAATAGATTATATTGAACAATGTGCCAGACAAGAATGGATATTTTGGAACAAATAGTGTCAAGTGGGTTTTGCTGGGGAATATCTAGGGGGAGGTGAATTCTAATTCCCAACCTCCAATTATGCAAAACTCCAGCCTTTTGAAGCTATGGCTTGAGGAGTGGGACATGGTCTGCTGATCACCGGTTATATGAGGCCAAGTTCCAAGGCCAAGCAGTATAAAGGAAAGACTGAACTATTCATGGTTATTCTGGTTCTGAATGTGAGACAGTTATGAAATTGTAAAAGCCAATTGAGGGTTTTGAAATACAGACACCTACCAGAGCCTGAGGTTGGGGTAACCTCTAGTAAGCTTTATAGAATTCATGTGGGTTCTTTTATTGTTTTCACCTTAAGAATAAACGTGCTTGCTTATAAAGAGTTGGGTGCTGACTTATAAGTGTGGACATTACAGTTCTTAACCTTCAAAGAGAAAGCAAAGAGCAAAAATTCTGGCCTGTTAGGCAGTCTGGTTTGCTGGCAATATCACAGTGTAGGCAGGGAACTGTGCAGCCTGGAAAACCCCCTGTCAGGAGGGAGAGAGATGTGGATCTCTGCCCAAGAGAAATGATGGCAGAGGAGCCAGGAACCTAGAATGGGTGCCCTCGAGGGACCACAGACGTGCAGTTATCCTGAACTGTAACAGTTGGTGACCTAGTGCTTTCTCAGAAGTATTAGACTGGCATATTGGTCACAACTACTCTGGTCTGTTTTGATTTCTGTTATCAACCTTCCCCAGCATGTTCTCCCCCGATAGCTGGCCTCTTAAATCCAGGAGAAATGACCAGCTAGAGTCAAGAACCATTCTGGATCCCAGTTGCGGTGAGTTTTCATTCTCTCCCTTCCAGGTAATAAGCATTTGGCACATTTTTATCTCTTCTTGGCTTTCTAGTCATTTTAGGAATACCCGTCCCTTTAAGGTAGGCATGTAAGACAACACACTTTTCTCATAATTAATCATATACTCTTTACGAAATGCTAGTACAACAAACCTCCCAGGCAGGCCCATTCAGAGTAGGGTTGCCAACTGTCTAATCACACAAACCCAAACACCCTTGCCCTGCCACCTACCCCACCCCTTCCCTGAGGCCCCGCCCCTACCCCCTCTTCTCTGAGGCCCTGCCCCACTCCCTCCATCCCCCCTCCCTCTGTTGTTCACTCTCCCCCATCCTGACTCACTTTCACTGGGCTAGCGTAGGGGTTTGGGGCGTGGGCTCTGGGTGGGGGTTCAGTATGTGGGAGGGGGCTCTGGGATGAGTTTGGGGCCAGGAGTTGGGGTGCAGGGTGCAAGCCCTGGGAGGGAGTTTGGGTGCAGGAGGGGGCTCATGGATGGGGCAGGAGTTTGAGGTATAGGCTCCGGCCGGGAGGTGCTTACCTCAGGCAGCTCCCTTTCAGCAGTGCAGCGGGGCTAAGGCAGGCTCCCTGCCTGCTCTGGCCCTGTTCCACTCCTGAAAGCGTCTGGCAGGTCCCTTTGGCCCCTGAGCAGCAGAGAGGGCTCTATGTGCTGCCTGCACCTGTAAGTGCCGCCCCTGCAGCTCCCATTAGCCACAGTTCCCTGCCAGTGGAAGCTGCGGAGTCGGTGCTGGGAGTGGGGGCAGCACGCGGAGCCGCCTGAATCAGAGCAGAGCCACCTGCTCCCCCTCACCCTCCAGGGGCTGCAGGGATATGCAAGCTGCTTTCATGAGTGGCATGGGGCCAGGGCAGGGAGGGAGCCTGCCGGGAGATAGGATGTGATTCCGGGAGACTCTTGGCGAAACCAGGAGGGTTGGCAACCTTAATTCTGAGTGTAACCCTTCTGCCCATCAGAGTTGGCAACAACAAGGGCCGGGTTCAGTATCTAGGGGTTCCGTTTCAATAGCACAATGCAAAACCAGCTTGAGCCCCCACCCAGTGACCTGGGACAATTACATACCACCCCCGTGGGCGCCTCTAAGAGGCAATACTTCCCCTCTCGCAAGCACAGAGTCTGAGTGTAGCAAAAGCCTTTTAGTAAAGGAGGGAAACAATGCGGCATTATGTTGGGGGAAATGCCACAAACAGGATTCATAACACAAACATGAGCAAAAGACCCACTCTCAAGTAAGTTTGGCAGCGTCCTTCTCCCCTCATGGCCTTAAGTTCAGCAACCCAACAGTCACCCCTCCCACAGTTTCTGTCTTTGGTCAGTGCAGCCCCCAGAGTTCAGAAGTTCATCAGCAGAGTTTACCTCCCAGCCTGGGTGGAAACAGGGGGAGGTATGGGGACATCTTACATACTCCGCTGCTCGGGTCAATGGCCAATTGCCATGCCTCTCCACAGGGTTCTGCTGCAGTCTCTGTCAGCCACCCTGCCTCTCTGTCAGCCACCCTGCTGGCCACTCCTCTCTGCCAGCTGCCCTGCTAGCCACTCACCAATATGTCTTCAGCCCCCCCCCACACACACACTTAACACAGCTCTCAGTGATTTCAGCTCTTAGTAACTTCAGCTCTTTAGTGATTTCAGCTGTTAGGGGGGGGGGCAGTGCTGGTGCACTCAGAACCACTAGCCCAAAGTAGGTCTAATGCTTAGACCTAGGAATCAGTGATTTCAGCTCTGCAGCATGAGCATGTAACAAGACTCCTAAGGAAGTCAAAATTAGCTCTGTTATTACACAGTGGAGAGAGAAAGGGTCAAAGTGGTGTTTGGGGCCCACACTACCAGGTACACATACCTGTCCCCAGCCTCTCTCAGTGCACTGGGCTTTGGAACCCATGTCCCTTGCCTAGCAAGTGCTGCTTAGTTGAGGGTGAGTCCCTCCGTCATAAAATGCCAAGTACAGTTCTACTGTCCTTGATTCCATAACCAGGATAACATTTTATTACTCTTGCCCTGATAACAAAGAGACTAGGGGTCCCACAGCAATCAAAGTGACTATTTGGGCAAGCAGTCCCATCATGCTAGGCAGGGTGGGTGTGCCCATACAAACAACATCAGCCCCTGAAGTCCTTTTCCACAACTCACCGCCAGCTGTCACGGTAGAGCTCATTCTGACTCTGCTTACACAAGTAATGGAGAAGAGAAGGTAGGACAATGTCTGCAGGCCAATTAGAAGAAAAGAAAAGAATTAAGCATAGCTCATTTTCTCAACATGTACCCCAGTAGGGGCCCCTATATAGGAACATCTGGACATAGGGAATACACTGAGCTCAACCAAGGTCTCCTCTCTCCTGTGGAAAGAGGTGATGCAAAAGGAAGCTTCCATCTCCTTCTTTTACTTCTGAGGAGATGGCACAGCTTCAGGCAGCATATCACACTACTATAGTACTTTATAAACATGCATCCCTAGGATAGTAGTATGCATCCCTAAATAGTAGTATGCCCATTTGACATTCCACCTGGTGAAAGTGACTTATACCCCTCTGCATCCCACCAGCACCTCTGCGACATGGTTATAAGGGAAGAGACGTCAACTGGAGGAAGGGCAGGCAGTGGTTTTGCTGTTGGCACTCTATGGATTCTTTTTGCAGAGGGAGGCAACTGCAGAGAAGCTGTCAGAGGCAAGCTGGCAGCTTCGTCCAGAGGATGTGCTGACTTTATTGGATCTCCTGGGCACACTTGCCATACCCGCTCTCAGCATGATACCACCTGCTATTTTGGACTGAAGATCCCCAGAGGAACGAATGGCTGTTGTCCTATCCCATACCTCAGCCATTGTTGACAGTAGGTAATTGGGCACAGAGAAAGGGAAATGTCTCACTAAGGTTATGCAGAAGGCCTGGGGCAGAGCCAAAAATGGAATTCAGATCTTTTGCCTTCCCTGTTCTGTTATTTAGCCCCGAGACCATCCTTTGCTCATCAGACAGGCAGACTAAGGAAACATTATACACGCAAAAGTGTTGATTAATGGTGAACACAACACTGGCCAAATGTTCGTGGAAAGATGTTCTTGCTTTTAACCAAGAAATGGGTAGAGGGCATTTCCCCATGCTTGGTTTGTAGAATGCAGGAACAGAAATTTTGTGGCCAGTTGATCAGTAATTTAACTGCACATAACATACCATACCTCTAACTCCTCTGTCCTCCCTCTCTCTGGGGTTGATTCAGTCAGTTGTCAGTGACACCTCTAATACAATGTTATCAATCTGATCAGCTCAACAATGCTTTTTTTCCTCCTTGTCTCCAACATCATTACAACGCTAGAAACAATGCATTCTAAAGAGATGTTACAGTGACAGAACATGCAGGAATGGAGCCTGCATAAAAAGAAACCGAAGAAGCGGGAAAGCATCACAAATAGCAAGCCCAGAAATTTAGAATGAAACAAGTGATCCAGGAATTTTATTTCCATTGTTGAGAGAACATTTGTCAGTTGGACAGGAGATGAGAATGGTGGGGAAAGGAGAAAACAGTGTATGCACATGGCTGAGTTTTGAGATTATTTCAATGAAAACACCACTCAGAAGTGTTTCTTTATAACTAGAACTGGCAGCAACTAAAAGACATTTAGAGCAAGGACAGAGTAATTTTGGGCAACACTAGGAAAGCTAACGATGCACAAACAGAATATCTGAGAGGAAGATGTGATTTTCATACAAGAGGATAAAGAGGATGAGAAGAATAGGAAGTGGAGGTAGGGTGGTATTAGACAGAATCCATGTAATTAAAAGGGCTAACATAGCATCTCAGAGGCTATTTCCTTTGAACAAATCTAAACACCATCAAGTTAACTGAATGAGAGGCCTGGCTTTGCCTCCTTGAAAACAAAGGATCAGATTGTGATTGGCTTTTGCACAGGTGAGTGGTAAGGCCAGGAGGCTGCTTGTGTCTCTGCCCCCTGCCCACAAGGGCCTGTTAAAGTTTCAGTCCTTGGGCATGGGGGACTGCCTAGACTAGTCCCTCAATATGCTCCCAAAGGGAGTCAAAAGTGATAGGATCCCTCCTCCCCCCGACCACTGTAATGGTCCAGAGAAAGCGCTGGGCATACTGGAGGGAACAGGCTGCACTATCCAAAGAGAGGGTTCAATCTGTGCAGATTCATGTGCATCAGGAAACTCCCTAAGATCCTCCTTAATCAAGTTGGGTCTTCAGCACCTCCCATACAGACCAATGCCTAAAAGGCTCAGGGGAATCAGGCTCAGGCCCATAATCTATATACACCAGGTTCAAAAAATTGGGCCTAATTCTGATCTCCTTTGACTTCATGGAGTTACTCTGGATTTACCCTGGTGTAGCTGAGCACAGAATTTGGTTCTTCACGTGTATCAAAGATCTGACACTGGGCGAATATAGAAGTCACAGCTACCATAAAAACATACGTAGGTTGGGACTTTCCATTAGATTAGACATCGTTAGAAGTGCAACATCAACAGCACTATAACCTGAAGGACCTGTTCTAAATCAGGTGATGTATTGTTAACGTGGCAGGATCATCTTTAAATCACATTGCTTCACTTGAATGGATGGCAATACTGCGTAGAAGTGGAGATTGGAACTGGATGATTTTGAACTCTGGCTCTAAATCAAAGTACTTGATTTATTTCAGCGATCGCTGCTAGGAGTGTTTTGTACAGCAGGGTGCTATGCGTGGCAAGAATAAAAAAATGGTCCTGGTTGCTGCGTGCACGCCAAACAAAGTGACTCTATGCTGCGTGAAGGATTTGAATTAGGCTGAAAAAGCAGTAGTGCATCACACCTGCCACACTACAGATCTGTGTCTCGTTTGGAAATGTGCAAAACGTTCAGATTTTTCTTCCAGAAAATGGTATATATTTCACCATTTTCTGCACACTTCTGTAACTCCAAGCCTAAAATTTCACTTTGTGCAAAATGTTGCCTGAGTCACCATTAAATCCTGTACATTGTCCCCCATGAGTCTGCTGGGGTGTGGGGTGATTCCACAGGAAGAAGGTCTATTCCAATTCTTACTCCCATTTAGACAGACCCCTCTCAGAATCTCCAGAGCTCTGGCTGTATGGAGTTCATATAAATGAGCTTGCAGGGTATCAGATGGAGGGATGCAGCATGCCGCTCTTGCTTCCTACAGGTTTTGGCAGCTTTTACTCCCCCCCCCCCCCGAATCCTTCCCCACTGCCAGCAAAATTGAAAGAGATGATGTGGCCCAAAATGCCTTATTGCAATAATCAGAGTAAGCAAATGAGCCTGTTCAGGCATTTGTTGGCTCAGTAACAGCATGACCACTCTGGTTTCAAAACAGTTGCCCCTAAAATCCGATTCAAGCGGGCTCCTGTTTAGAAGGAAATGGCTTAATACAATTAATTGTAAAAGGAAAATACATCCTTCCTCCAATGGACTTAGACAGTAATCATTCATCTTAGTACTGCAGAAAGTGTCCTGATATAAATAATAGCATTACAAATAACCATCTGTCTTTGGGATGTAAGTATCTGAATATAATCTTTTAGCTACAGTGTCATAAATTTGAGTGCATTTTTGTTTAGAGAAAACTGACCACTGTGCCACTTTCAATCACCTACACACCTTTTCCAGGCTTCCCCTTACACATAGTACAACCCTCATGAGCTTATCCAAAGTCCCCTACCCTCGCCACATTATGATCATTCTTGGAAATGCACTTCTGCTGGGCATGCTTGTTGCCATGTATACTCAGTAAACAAAAAGGAAAAAAGTATACAGTGCTCCCCTTCCCTGTTAGCTCTGTCTGTCTCTCTCTGTCCTTTAGACTTGAGTCTTTAGATTTTTTTTGGTTCGGGGGCAAACTGAAAAACCACACTCCAGCTTGATTTGAACCAAACCCAGTTTTCCCATTGTATTGCAAGGCTCACAAAAACCCACACCAAAAAAATGGTTTCAAGCTGACCAATTTGGTCAACCACAAATCATAGTTGTCTGAACTTTTTTTGTTTTGATTCTGCCATTTGCGGGGGAGAGGGGAGGAGGAGAAGCGGGGGGCGAGAAAGGGTGTCACTCTTTTTGTGCATGTTTTTCCTTTAAAAAATGGCTAAATTTGAATTGTGCTAGGTGAGGTGTGAAAAAACAAAACAAAAAGACAGTCCCAACCCCGAAGAGCTTGCAATCTAAGTAATATATTTTTAGGATAATAATCAGTAACAATAATTTTGGTGTGACTTATTGCCCTGCAGCAGAAGTTATATAAGAGCTCCTGTTTCATGAGCAGACCATTATGTGGACATCTTCAATGATGCTGATATTCAGCTGGAGAAATAAAGAAAAGGCAGCACAAGAAACATAATAAAATTATATGCCCATCAAAAAGACACTAGAACTACTAATAAGACAAGTTTGAAGTCCTAATTCTAATTTCATTTACCATGATGCAAATCAGAAATAACTTCATTGATGCCAATGGAGCTACTCAGGTATGAGATCAGACTCAGGGTTTTAGTTAAGCATATTTAATAGCCAACAAGGGGGAAACTATCAATATGTTGTTGGCAGTTTATTGAATTCATTAATAATACAATTTCACTTTTGGTAAATGAAGGGTCTCTTCAGTTTGTGATATAGAGCTAAGATCCCCATATAGCTACAACAATCATTTTCATTATTACATTGAAAATAATTGCATTGTGGCTGTAACTGAACTGACAACTATATGATACAGAATTAAGACTAAAACCTGCCTTCTTAATTCAAGTGAGTAGCTTTTCCTAATGTGAATAGTTCCATTGGCTTAAATAAACATGTAAATAAGGACCAGCACATGGACAAGATGCAAAATTGGGCAACTAATTTCTAACATCCAACGTTTGGATGTCTTTTTCAGATTTTAGATCGAGCTAACACAACCAATACATACTACAAGAGTTTTTATTTTCATAACCACTCTCAGTTAAAGGATGCAGATGTGCTAAAAATGTCTCTGAAGTCCAGAGACTTTCAATTAGAGATGAATTTGTGCAGACAAGACTGATCAATATAGGATTTTAAAGGAGTTTCTTTGATAATCTTGTTCATCTAGATGCATGAAAAGCTCTATTTGATGGGCCAAACTCTGCTCTCAGTTACACCAGTACAAATCCAGAGTAATCCCATTAAAGTCAATGGAGTTATTTCAAACTTATAAACGGAATAACTGGGAAACAGAATTTGGCC